TGGAGCTTAGCTAGCTTCTGTGTTACTTTCCTGTCTAATGTGCTCCTCTTAGGATGCCAGTATTGCAGAATTTGGAGAAGCTGAACAGTCACAAATATGGTCACGTGTTTCAGAAACTCCAAAACAGTTACCTGAGCAGTCCGTTTCCATGACCTTGCTTGTGAGATGTGGGTGTGACTGTCAAGCCTCAAGCAAGTACTTGATGCTGGGGGAGGTTGTTGTCCCCCAATCCAAGAAGACCCTAGAATTCTCAGCCTGAAGATCATTGTGCTTGGAATTTTCAGCAGTTTGGAATTCTACAGAGCTTATGAAGCAATGGAGTTCTCTGCTGACAAGGTGCAGATGTTTGGGCATGAGCACAGCTGCCAGGGATTCTGCAGGGGGAAGGCGGCCTTGTACCACTAGAGAGGGTTCCTCAGAGTTGGGAGACTAGTGGACCCATGGCATACCACAAAAACCATGCCTATCTTGAGTTTATCCTGCTTAACCATTTTTTGGTGTTCAGCCATTGACCATATTCCCACAATCACTTTATATAGAAATGAAGTCACTAACTTTGTGTACATATGTGTAAATATGTATATATGTATACACATATATATGTATATATATATATATGTGTGTGTGTGTGTGTGTATGTGTTGGGCTATCTTCACAGTCCTCCTCGAGCAGGTCCCCTTGACTTGAGGGCCAAGCCAAGCTACCCTTCTGCTAAAAAGAGGGGTCTGGGGAAAAGAGCATGTTCCTACGTCACCGCCTCCACAACTGAGAAATACGCACATGAGCATGGCAGGGGTCCTGTCAAGCAGTTCCAGTTTTATTAGGCAACGAGCATGGCTTTATAGGCTGGGAATACAGGGGAGAAATGCTACACAGTCACGAACTCACAGTGGTCAGAACAAACATGTGTTTTCTATAGATAGGGTCACACCTTACCTGTGTGATTACAGTGGTTCAATTGTCACCACACACCTGCCAGAAATGTCCTGTGCCATGGTCATTATTAACCCACAATAAATATGCACTGCAACAGGCTTCATGAGCTTAGTGATCTGGGAGGATCATCCCGGACCCCAGCCCAGGGATTAGTGTGGCACTTCAAAGCAGACCAAAAGGGGCTTTTCTGCCAACGTGTGTGTGTATGCAAACATGCATGTGTACATTTTGGTCAAAGGGAAAAGGGGAAAAAAACACAAGCACAGGAAAGAATTCAGTCTTCTCCAGAGAGCATGAAATGAGCCCAATGAAGTAACAGAAAGTAATTCTATACCCCAAGTTGCTGTGCAGTGATTCCAGGATAGAATTTACAGGCTTTATTTTAAACAGTTATTAATTACTTACCTATTCAGAATAAAATTGTTGGAATATGGTAGTATAATACTAGGAAATATTCCTTTGGTACTATTGCCTATACATATAATATCACTAACTTGTCATACAAAATTTTGAATATTATCTATTCATTACATCAATTAAGTCTCTATTGGATAATGAATCTAAAACGTAAATCAAAATATTTTCTAGTAACTTTAGTTTAGAAACTATAACCCCAAATAAGTGTGATCATTATATGAACACAATAAAAAACACACACACAATACTTGTATATAATTGCAGGATTGGTCCCAGGTGTTTTCAAAGTTGGCCAAGAAGACATTAGACCCAGGGGCTTTGCTGCTGCCAAAGATTCTTTGTAATCTAACCTCTAGTGGTCAAAAATAGATTGAAAATGCCTTCTTTTTTTGCCCTACCAGACACATTTTGTTCACAGACTGATCATGAAGACCAATTGCTGACACGGACCATTTGTTCTTCTCTTGATGGATGAAGTTCTTGAATGTGCTCTGGTGAGTTATCTGAGATTCTAGAAGGAAAGATTTTAGAGATTGATACACTCTGATTGATACACCAATGAGCACAATTTTAAAGTACATGTATGAATTCAGATCATTTTTATGGATATTATGAATTTGAATAAAAATTTGTCAGGTCCTGTCATTCCAAAAATATTTTCTGAAGTCACATTCTCACCTCCGTGGTGCTACCTTTCTTTGTATAACCTCCATGAAGGAATCAGTCTGAATGGATGATACAGTGACATTTAAAATCTTTGCATTCATAGTATCTATTCATTATTAGAAGGTTGATATACGAAAGATGTGAAAACATTTCCATATCAATAATAAGAGGTAAACAGTTCAAATATGAAAAACACTTTTTAAAACAGAATATATCATATGTTTCAGAGAGGAAAATTGCATATCTTTTTTGTTAATGCTGTAAGTTTTTAAAAATTGATTTATTTTTAAATATTACATTATTGACACACCATAGTTTACCAAATTGTTACTAGTAGGCTTTTAACAACCATGAAAGATTTCCAGAAACACATCTGCCACCAGAGAGTCTACTTCACATCTTAATCAGAAGCTTAAGAATAAAAGATTTTAAAAATGTGAGATCAAAAGAGAGACATTTTTGTTCTCACAACAGGACTCTCCAGCTTATTAATTTCTTCATTTTATTCAGGAATTAATGATGGAGAAAGTAATCCAAAAAATGCTGGAATGAATGGTTTTATATTGCTAAGACTATAGAAAAAACATACAACCAGAATAACTGGTAGAAATTGTTAATCTTATGAAACATTTGTTATGCTTTGAAATATCCACCTAAACCTATAACAGAAGTGTCAAAATTTGATGACTTATTTGTCAGAAGAAATTAATAAGTTTGATACAAATAAAGCATGAAATTAAAGAAGAAAGGCCAATATAAAATACTGAAGCTACATTGAAAGGACTAGAAATATTGGGGGATTTTATTTAAGAATAAAAGTATATATATTTAATCATCCAACTTAAGAGATATTAACAAAGGACAAAATTCATTAAGTGATGTCTAAGATGTTCCTTCATTTTTTTCCTGCTGTACCCTTGGTTAAAAAAAAGACAAATAAGTTTGCCAACTAGATTATGTAATTGTAGTTGGTAAACATTTTACATTTGCATATATATGCATTAAGTTGGACTGGAGCAATAGCACAGCGGGTAGGGTATTTGCCTTTCACGTGGCCGACCTGTATTCGATTCCTCCACCTCTCTCAGAGAGCCCTTAAGCTACTGAGTGTATCCCACCCTCACAGCAGAGCCTGGCAAGCTCCCTGTGGCATATGCATTATGCCAAAAATAGTAACAACAAGTCTCGCAATGGAGATGTTACAGGTGCCCACTCAAGCAAATCGATCAACAGCGGGAGGACAGTGCTACAGTGCTATCCTTGGTATCACACACATACATAGAGCAATAGCTTAAATAATGGTTAGATCATTACTTGTATAGCAATGCAACAAAGATAATTTTAACACCCTACAAGCGGCTGAATATATAAATGTATGTATATCTTATGCAATATTACATAAAATTATGCATTACATATGTTCTCAAGGGACAAAAAGATATATAAAAGAATGAAGCTAAAAATAAAATGTATTATTTCATTCATGCTTTTGTATTATTGACAATATGAATTAACAAATACCCAAACAGTTCATTTGTCAAAATGAGTAATATTTTCAAGTATATAATTTTTTTTCAGCTTCCGGGTAAAAAAAAATAAGGAATGTTTTCCATATAAAGCAGACATGAAATACCTGAAGACATCAACTACTGACCTGGTGAGTTTCAGCTGGAAGAGAAAATGTCTAAGAGAGTAAATTTATCTATAAACCTAGAGCATCACCCTTTAAGATTTTTTATTATATTTTAAGGCTCTTGTGACATACATCCCACACATACAAATGCATATCACTTTAAACATAAAACGAGAGTAAATCAATTCGTAATAGGTTTGATTAAATGTTGTTCAGATGATTTCTTCTAAGCTCAGTCATCTCTATCAAGAAAAGAGTTGAACAATTTTCTAGTACAATTACTTGGAACAAGATTAAGGGACAAAATTCATCTTCCTCGACTCTAAGTAAATTATTATTGATTAATTTGTGGAATAATGCTGAAAATCTGAAAAGGAAGATCCAGTTATTTCAGATGTTTTTGAGTGAGGCTAATGAATCTGTCAATAATATACAACCATGTACTTGCCATTCAGAAATAATTACTTTCTTTGAACCTTTTATCTTCTTATTCTGTGGTCTTCTAATTTTTTTGTTATGCATTTAAAACTTTTGATATCTTAAATTATATTTACTATGTTTAGTCCTAAAAGTGATTATATCATTTCTAAAAAAATGGTAATATATATTCATACTTTTCTTGCATGTTAATTTTTTTAATGCACTTTTAGGATTTGTTCATGGCTTTTGTTGCTGTACCAATTTTAAATAAGCTTAGTTTTCCTCAGTTATGGATTGCATTAAATTTTAAAAATTACTTAGTGAAGCTAGAGATATAGTACAGTGAGGAAGGCTCTTGCCTTGCATCCAGTCAACCCCCAGAACCACATATGGTTCCCCAAAAAAAAGAAACAAAATTCCTACTGTTTGAAGTCTTCTGTTAAATAAGTAGCTCTTGACAGATGTACAATCAGAAAGCTTACTAAGAAAGTCTAGGTAGCTCAGATACAGAATTCAAGGAGTTGTTCATGACTAGGACCTGTAGGTAATATCATAAAATTTCTAACTTTTCATAGTCCTGTCAAAAAATTATATCTATTTTATAAATATAATATTTACATCATCTATAAAATTATATATTTTTAAATTTCTAGTGGGTGTATGCCTTTGAATTTGATTTGATTTAAATGGATATGCTAAAAACTTTCATCTTGCTTTGCCAATATTTTTAACTTAGAGAAATCATCAGAATCACTGATGTCATTATCACTGCACAGAACTTATCAATAGCTCTATAATTTATAATGAGGAAACGTGATTCTGACTTCTCTTTACCAAATTTTATTGAGTAGTGTATACTGCACTTCAAAAAAGTTTCTGTGGAGAGTCCCTATCTTCATCTGAGGCCAAGATCAGCTGAAAACTAAGAATGACTATGACTAATGTCACTGCCAGTGGGTTTCTTCTCATGGGGTTTTCTACCAAGCCTCAGCTAGAAATTTTCTATGCTTCTCTGTTCTTGGTCTTATACTTGTTGGCTTTATTTGGAAATATTCTCATAATCCTCTCAATTTCAATGGATCAGAGTCTCAAGAAGTCACCCATGTATTTCTTCCTGAAGCATCTCTCCATGTTGGATCTCTGCTATATTTCTGTGACGGTACCAAGATTCATATGCAATTCTTTCAGGCATAGTGGAAATATTTCCCTCTGGGAATGCATGGCGCAATGTTTTACTCTCACTCTCTGTGCTATTGCCGAGATGGCCATGCTCACGGTGATGTCCTATGACCGCTACGTGGCCATCTGCCTTCCACTGCGCTATGACATCATCATGAACATCAGAACCTGTGCCAATGGGATCGCTGGTGTCTGGATTAGTGGGACGTTCTCTGGAGTCATGCATACGGCAGCTACTTTCTCCATCCACTTCTGTGGTCCCCGTGTCATTCACCAGTTCTTCTGTGATATTCCCCAGCTCCTGAAACTCTCCTGTTCTAATGACTATCTCAGGGAGGTTGGGGTCTCGGTCTTCTTCACTCTGATGTCATTTGGCTGTATCATCTTTATTGGTTACTCCTACATGCAAATATTTTCTTCTGTGCTGAGGATGCCATCTGCGGAGGGCAGGTCTAAGGCTTTTTCCACTTGCCTTCCCCACCTTGCTGTTGTCCTGTTATTTGCCTCTACAGGTTTCTTTGAGTTTTTGAAACCTCATTCTGACAATCCAACAGCTCTTGACATTGTGCTCACTATTTTTTATACTATTGTGCCCCCAACATTTAATCCAATGATCTATAGCCTGAGAAATAAAGCAATGAAAGCAGCTCTTAGAATGGTTTTTAAGAGAAGTAAGGCATATCTGTTTCTTTGACCTATTTTTATTTACCCTGTCATGAGAGGTCAGCCCCAAAATATACTATGTGACATAGGACCTTGGACACTACATATAAGTATAGGAATGGTTATAGAAAATGCTTATAGAAATATATTGTATGCATATACCGTCTACAATAAAAATATTTTAAAATACACCTCTTTAGACATTCATAGGCTTTGAATTTGTTTGGGGACCACACACAGCTCTGCTCAGGGCTTACTCCTGGCTCTTGTTCAGGGATTACAGCTGGTGGTGCTTGGGAGACCATACAGGGTGCTGGGAATTGATCTTGGATTGACTGTATGCAAGGGAAGTGCCCAAGTCACGTTATGATCTCTCTTACCCCAAATTATTTTCCATGACCTCACAGGGGTTATTCCTGGCTCTGCACTCAGGAATTACTCCTGGTGGTGCTCAGGATACCATATGGGATGCTGGGAATTGAACCTGGTTCGGCCGCGTACAAGCCAGAGGCCCTATACGCTGTGCTATCTCTCCATCCCCTCCATGACCTATACTTTATGATGGTGTCCTGTGTCTTGTTTTTGAGGTCACCAATTTTTATTTCCTGCTTCTTTCATTATGCAACTCTTGAATCCTTTCACTATATTCTTCAGCTCCTTTGCTTCTCTTTGAATTCTTAGATATTTTTCATCAAGTTTGGTTTGTTTTTTCATTGATCGGATCACTGTTTCACCGATTTCCTCAGTTCAGTAAACAGCAAGAAGATTGATGTAATCCTTGTGTTGCATTGAACTTTCTAATGCTCTTGAAGATTTCCATCCCAATACATTCAAGTAGATGATCCCTTCAGCAGTTTTCTTTTAAAAATTATTACAGTTATTTTGTGAATACGAAGAGTTAAGCTAACTCCCAGTGGTTGGCCACCAACTCAGTTCTCTTGTCTATAGTATCAGTCTCGTTGTCTTTGTCAGTCATGGATGCCATGTTATTTTTTTCTCAGCAGAACATATGGGATGACACTAGGTCTCAAGCTCTAAGCCGGTAAGTTTAGGGACTGGCCATTGCTGTAATGGTTCCTCATAGGTTCACCTGAAGGAACTATCAAACTGAAGATGGACTTTTGGAGGGAAGGGGTTTTCATTACACTCGTGGTTCTCAGAGCTTTTTCCTGACTGTGTTCAGAATGGATATCTCCTCAGGTATTCCTACTGGTGATGCTTCCAAGATCACAAGCAGTGCAAGGCATCAAAATAGGGTTGGCTGCATGCAAGACAAATGCATTACCCCTGTTTTAATTGTCTGGAGCTAGACTTTAATATTATTGATGGGATTAGTAAAAGGAGGGAGTTGGGAACTGGGAGTGGGAAAGAGTGTGTGTGTGTGTGCAAAATCCCTGATCCATATCTAACAGGTGAAAGGATGGACTGGTCCATGGCTCTAGGTGTTAGAGATGGAAAGTTGGGCAGGAAGTAGTGAATGGTGGTTGGAGGTTGATATTCTGCTGTTTAACGTTTCAGAACATTAAAGAAGCACATTTAGTCTGATCAATAACTTTAAAGCAATTGTTGACCAGATACTAAACAGATTGAGACAACACACAAAACATGTTTTAGAACTTACCATTGAAAATATGACATGTTTTTCCTCGAAAATATATTAGTAGGTGCTGGAGTGGTAGTACAAAGGGTAAGGCTTTTGTTTTGCATGTGGCTCGCCCGGGTTAAATTCCAAGCATTCCATATGGTTCCCGGAGCACTGCCAGGAGTAATTCCTGAGTGTAAAGCCTGGAGTAACCCCTTTCCATCGCCCAGTGTGACCCAAACTCAATATACAAGAACAATTATAAAGCAAACCCAAGTAGGATATACTCCAAGGACTTAAGGATGCTCAATGTATGCAAAAAAGTACCATATCAACAATATGAATGACATAAATCATATGATTTATCAAAATAATGAATAAAAAGTGCTTTAAACAAGATGTGACATCCCTTCATACCTCTTGAAAATATCAAAAATATAATATAATGTACTTAACTCAGCATATTAAAAATCATATACAACAAATGAATAGCTAATAGCATTTTCAATGACAAAAATACTAAAATCTTTCCTATATCAGTCACAGGACAAAGAAGTCCATTCTAAGCAATATTACACAAAATGATATTGGGAAGAAATCAATCTGGAATTAATCCAGAAAATAAATTGATAATATTAAAATTGGAAGAAAGCTTGAAAGAAGTTACAGGCCACTCGCTGCAGGTAACCTATAATATTCATAGAGCCAACTAAAGTCTAACAATGGTGAAACTATCTATCTTTGAATTCTATTGTATATGTTTGCCTTTAAATTTCACTTGATTAAAATGAAAGTGCTAAAAATTTTCATTTTGCTTTGCCAATATGATTCATTCATTTATTTCTGGTATCTCAGCAGCATGTTAGGAAACCACCCTACCTGCTGTTATTTCTCTTCAGCTCTGCCAATGTGTTTGAATTATGGAAGTCATCAGAATCTCTGATGTCATTATATCTGTCCAAGCATATAATTAAACTGATAAATCGCACTATAACTGATAATGAGGTAATGTGATTCTGACTTAACGCATTTTCTTGAATAGTATTATATTCGCTCTGGGAACATGAAGAACCTCAAAGTTCATGAACTTGATTAAGAAGTCTGACCATCTTGTAGGTGGGCGGCCACGTGGTCTTTTGACATCCCATGGGATCCAGTCAGTAACAGCTGTAGTCCAGCGGATGTCTTTAAATCTCATTATGCGACCAACCCATCTGATTTTTGACACCTTGACAAATGACACAGCGTTCCTGATTCTTGATCGTCGACGGATGTCGAAACTCTAGATTCTTTCTCTCATTTGAGTGAAACGTGATATTCCAAGCATAGCTCTTTCAATTCCTCTTTGGGAGACCCGAATAGCATTCTCATCCTGTTTACGTAGGGCCCAGGTCTCTGAGGCATATGTTAATGCAGGAAGAACAGTGGAATGAATCAAAGAGATGTGCCCGGAGCCAGAGGTTCTTCGTCCTCTTAGCTATTTCTTCGACGTTCCTGAAGGGGTTCCAAGCCGCTCTCTTCCTCCTGCGCGGCTCGGGTGCCAGGTCATTTGTCATGTTGACTTCTCGACCTAGGTACACATAGCAGTTGCATTCGGAGATGGTTGTTCCATTGAGAGCAAATGAGGCATCAGGAACGAGGCTGTTTCTCATAAACATTGTCTTCGTAAGATTCAGCTGTAGTCCTACCTTTCCACACTCACGGTCAAAGTTGGTCAGCATTTGTGCAGCTTGGCTGATGTTTGGTGTTATTAAAACAATGTCATCAGCAAAGCGGAGGTGGTGTAGTTGCCTACCATCTATCTTCACTCCCATTCCTTTCCATTCCAGTCGTCGCATGACGTTCTTGAGGGTGCACTGAAGAGTTTCAGTGAAATGGTATCACCCTGCCGAACCCCTCTCTTGACATCAACGATCACTTCTTTGTAGAATGGTGAGATCCTGGTAGTGAATCCGCAATACAGCTCACGGAGGATCCTGATGTATTGGGCTCGAATGCCCTGATTGGCTAGGGCTTCATGACCGCTTCCGTCACAACAGAATCAAAGGCCTTCTTTAAATCAATGAACGTTAAACAGAGCAGCATCTTGAACTCCTGAGAAACCTCAATGAGCTTGGTTATCTTGTGGATATCGTTCATGGTGCTAAATCCTTTGCAGAACCCGCCTTGCTCACATGGTTGTCCTTCATCTAGTGTTCTGCCGATCCTATTCAGGATGACTCGAGTGAACAACTTGTAGATGACAGACAATAGGTAGATTGGGCGATAGTTGCCAATGTCATGGATGTCTCCCTTCTTGAACAGTAGTACGGTCCTGCTGGTTTTCCATTGTGACGGAACCTTGCATTCAGACAGGTAGTGTGTGAAGAGACAAGCCAGTGTATTGATGAGTACTGACGGCAGGTTCTTCAGGTGTTCAGGTCTGACCTTGTCTGGACCGAGTGCTGTTCGTTTCTTTACTGACGAAATGGCATGTCGGATTTTGGAAGGGAGAATGTTGGGAACGACATATCCATCCTGAGGAATTTGGTATGCTGGCAAGTTGACATGGCTATCGAAGAGATTTGAGTAGAAGTCATGGATAATCTTCTCTATTGCCGTTCTGGAAGATGTGATGGATCCATCAGGACGTCAGAGGGCAGTCATCTTGGTCTTGTAGTTGGCGAAGGAGAGGCGGGCGTTACGAATACTTTTCTTGGCTTCTGCTGCATCTACCAGCACTTCTGCTCTTCTCTATTTGAGGTCTTCCTTGATCGCATCTCTGCACTGCTTTGCGAGCTCGGATGTTAGCTTGCGGTTGCCTGAGGCATGGGGCAAACCACGTTGGCGAATAAGCTCAAGAATTTTTGAAGACAGGCTTTTTTTTGTGGCTATCTCTCTCTTGGCATTCCTCGCACAATCATGGAGGTGCTGAACCAGTCAATCGTATTCCTCATCAATGTTGTCAACAATGGCATCTTCCCATGTTGCTGCAATAGTGCCAAAGAGCTCCCAGTTGGTGGTCATTCTGGGAGTTCTCTTTTTAAACTTTGCAGCCCTTTCTCCCCGCTCTGTGAAGTAGAATTTTGCATGAAGGAAATGGTGGTCCGATCCCATTTAGAATTTTGGGACAACAGCAACATCAGTCAGGCAAAACCGTCGATTGAATATGATGTGGTGTATTTCATTATGGAATCGTCCACTGGGAAACTCCCATGTCCATCGTTTAGATTCTGCCTTCTGGAACTGTGAGTTACCATGAATGGTCTTGGTCGACATGATGAACTCAGACAGTCTCTCACCCTGTTTGTTCCATTCTAGGCCATGCGTCCCAATGTGAAGTTCTTCAGCTGATCTTCTCGGTCCTATCTTGGCATTAAAATCACCCTCAATGATCTTGTAGAAGGTGTGGTCTTCTTTATAGAACTTCTCCAGCTCCATGTAGAACTTCTCGATTTCTCTTTCATCAT